CATGAGTGAGTTCCACATGGCCTTTCGCAGCGCAGTAGTGGCCAGCGATAGTTTAGTGGATGAGTACAACAATTTAGTCGAACAGCATGCCTCACATCTCCGACGCTAACAAACTGGTCTGAATGGATCCTCGGAGGAAGAATGCAACCCGCAATCCGAGCGCAATTTTCCACAAGCGAGCGCAATCTCAAAATCTGCTCGAATGATGTAAGATTTTGGGCTTGCACAGGCTTGTAAAGACTTGTGCTAGTGGGTTCAGGATTTGATATAGTTTGGATATGGCTGTTGTGGGGTGGTAGAAATTTGTGACTTGCATGTGTTGGACAGCTCTTTTGCTCAAGCTTGATCAAACACTTTTTGAACGACATACTGTCAGGATCTGTCCGGCCCAGGCCATGTCTAAGGAGTCGGTGGATGAGGGGCTAAAGCTTCTTCGGATGAACGCGTCAGCCTCTTGTGAACCTATGGATGCCCTCATCCAGGTGCCTGGTTGACATTAAGCTGCATGCATGGTGCTTGGTCTTGATTGTTTTGTCACTCATGCACACCATGTTCACGCACGCCATATTCATGATACCACGTGCATGCATGAACATCCATGAAGTTGGCAGGAAAAGCTCGCCAAGATTGCCAAGTTGAAAGCTCAAGTGGCTGAGTCAGATGTTCCTTCGGGGGGGATGTGCATCTCCCGCTGTGCCAGGCTTGTGGTGTCATGACATGTCTGGCTTTGTTGTCCTTGACTCCATGCATGCATACATGCTTTCTGCAGGAAAGCCTGTCTCTGAGCAAGCAGCACTCTTGTCAATGTTGCATGGTATGGCATTGATGACTTTTTCCGCGCAGTTGATGTCAAGGAAGTCTGGGTCCACAGAGACGCAGCCGTACAATGTGTAAGGGCATGCCAAAATGTCACAGTCTTTTGTTTGCATTTTGAGATGGTGCATGCAAGCAGTTGAAGAGTTTGTCTTGCTAGTGCTACTCGACCTGCTTGCTTTTGAGGAAGGGGTTGCGGCGCTCAATGGATGTGCTGTTCGTCTGAACTGGCACCTTTCAAAATGAAGCCAAAGCTGCGTATGCAGCAGGAGATCATGAGCCTTGACATTTGTTGTGTCAACTATGTACCGCCGCCGACTGCCACCTCTAAAGGATGTGTCCTGTGTGTGTTCTTTGGCTTACTGTCCAAGGATGTCGATGCCCTGGATGCAAAGGCAACTGGACCGTCCAAATGCACAGTGGATCCTGAATCCTAGCCGAGTCTTGCATGCGTGTGGCATGTGCGTGTCACGGCTTGCATGGTGCATGTTTGTCGTGTATAGGCTTTGGCTGCTGGGTGGATGAAGATTTCATAGGCGGAGACTCTCGGTTGCATGACATGTTGCACGCAATCTCATGAACACATGCATGTCACAGTGTGTTGCATCAAAGCTCATGGGCTCATGAATGTCACGCATGCACTGTTGAATTATCTGACGCAAGGTATGCAGAGTTACACGTAGATGTCATTGCTTCGGGATTGCTGTGAGAGCAACCTCTTGGTGCTTAAGTCACTATAGACGCCTCTGGGTGAAGAAGAACTGGTTGAAAAAGAGCGTGCAATGAAAAAAATGAGTGATGCCGTGCTGTGGGGGTGGGACAGGCAAGGTGGTGTTATCGCTTCGAGCGCTTTTCTTTGGTAGACTTGAATTCGAGCAGAAAACCTAAGGTCGAGCAAAAATAAAGCGAGCACTGTTTTCTGCTCAAATGAAGCTACAGGATATACTTATCTTCTTTCAACCTGGAAGAAATGGCCTCCAACCCACTAGCGATGGCCTCCAACCAACTTGTACTAGCGGTCTCCAACATACTAGAAGAAAGATCACCTACACTCGGTTTGGAGGTGAAAGAACACCTTTATGTACCTGGACCCTCCTGTCTGGAGATCCTGGGGGTAGTCCAACCAGAACACCCTTGGATTGTTACAAGGATGATCCAGTTATATACCCGGACACCTCCGAGTACCTCAGAACATAGTATATACATATACCGGTTCTTGTAGGGTCATGTCGCGAGTACTTGAAGTGTCGGGTCCAGGTTCCCAGACACTCCAGGTAGTACACTTATGGCATATATACCGATCAGTTGGGGTGGTTGACTGGGGGTCAATGGGGCGGCACTCCTATGGCAGTCCCAGACAGGTCGCGTCTTAGCTTGGTCGTTCTTCGTGCTTGCTCCGTCGCATTCTTCGGCTCCGCGAAAACCCCCCCCGCATCGTTTTTCTCTTCGTTCGGCGAACGCCGTGCTACGCGATCGGCTCGGGCGTCGTTCTACACGGGCGGTGTCGTTCTACTGGTCTATACGGCGCCCAGAGTCGTAGGCAGGTCTTTCGTAGGCAGGTCTGTGGATGGTCACGGAATTGTGCTCAAGAAAGTGTGATTTATCCAAATCTCAAAGACTCAAACAGATCTCCACACGGCAGTCCGCTGCTTGAGGCCTTGGCCTTGTTGTTGTATTATATGAACAACGTTTCTAAATTGGCCCTTTTTGCATCACGAATGAACATGTTCATGCAATAATCCAGTCCACATGAAAAAACACGCCTCCCCCCCCCCAATAAGGAAACCTCGGTCGCATTGTTTTTTAAAGGGGGACCCTGAAATCGTGGTGGTCCAAAATAGGGTCACCCGGAAAGAGTTTCAAAAACAAAAAGTACTCCAGGACAATTTTATATAGAATCCTTTATTAAACTCGTATCAAAAATGCCAAAAAAACCTCCAGATCGAAGGGTCTCTTCCTTTTCCCCTACAAAGACCTTCATTTGAATAGTGGTTCTTCAGTAGACAGCTAATCTTTCGAAAGGTGATGTCGCTGTGCCATGCGGTGTTGCATGACCTCGGTGGCAAGTGCGTTTGCGTGAGTCCGTGCCATTGGGGGAAGGAAAACCTGCTGGTGTAAGCGCGGCGTGTCATGGTGGATAGACAGGGCGGACAGAGGTGGAAAGTTACGGTTGTTTTTTGGAACCTAATAAGAAAAACACCTCCAAAATCGGCCATGTTGGTAGTTTAGTAGCGGCTTGAAAGGGCGGCAATTTAAAAACAAATATAAGCCGTATTTAGGGGATCCGACATGATTTGTTTTTAGTAGGGGTCCGTTTTTTAGTAGGTACTCGGGATTTAGTTTTTCTTTTCTTCGTGTGGTTGGAACATCTTGGAGAGAGAAGTTCTTGCAGTCCTTCTGTTCTCCGGGTCCTTTGGTGGAACTTGGAGTTTTCAGTGCATACATTCTCGTCCCATGATCGGGGTTACCTTCACCAAAACCTACCCCCCCAAGCGGCGCTACGCTAGGCGCTATTAGGGGGCTAGACCTGCCTTTGCGGACCCGTTTCTCGGAGTCTCAACCGATGTCGTGAACTCCTCGTGTTCCGACACCGCGACGGTTGGTGGTGGAATCCGCCGCGGGGGGGGGGGTTCTCTTCATCCGGGCATGGTGGGACCACGCGTCGACATCTAAGGAAGACAACCCGAAGTGCATGGTATCGAGTCCAAGAATCGCTATCCCAATGACCTCTTCCCTAGAGATGAGAAGTGCGATCTTTGGGACCAACTGGCAAGGTATATGCCCTGGGTGTACGAGACAAGTTCTACTCCCAGCTTGCTGGTTTGAGTGATCTGCGGCTATCGCCAGCGTGCTTCGCGCCACTTGGGTCCCCCTTGTAAGGAACCCTAGGAGGGCGATTGCGCAAGAACAGCGACTCAAAGTCAGTCAAAGCGTACGGAATGTACGGACTACACAACGCTCTCCACAAGACCTTTTGAAGCGATTTGAAGCGCGTGGTTGGTGCCCACAACAGAAAACCCCAGCCAAGCTCGTCGGCTTGGCTTGCGCGTGGTTGACCTCAGATGGCAAGAGTTTGAACTTGCCGTTGACAGTGTCTTCCAGCCACTTGATGCCAAAGAGTGGAGCAAAACTGCACGGTTGGCAGTCAGGGTTGGGGAGAGAAAGGGATCAACATTGAATCAGAAGGTGGTTAGACCCCCCCAAACCCACCCCAACCATTTTCTCAGGAGGTGGGCCAGGAGCCCTAGGGCATCCTAGGGCAGAGCATCGATTTCGGGAAAACATCCGTGGATTGTTCGGGCTTGGCGAGGCATGGACTTGTGTCCGAAACTCGAGTACATGAGTATGAGTCTGTACGATATGACATGAGTATGCATCTTCCTATAGTGACTCTGAACACCTGGGGCCATTGGAGCCGTCTCCGATGTCGAAGCCTTTCAGCCTTTGATGTGTTCTACAGCGACTCAGCCATGACTTGGTGGGAAGATGTAGCCAGCCACAACCGGCGACTCACGGGCCAGGAGTTGAATGGCTCGATTCTGGAGGTGAGAAGGGCGGCTCAGGGCGGCTGGTGGAGATTTAAACAGGTGTTTGAGAGGTCGAACTTTGGGAAGGAGGTGGACATAGATAAAGGGAAACAAAGTGGACGGAGAACAGCGGGCTTTGTCTGCACCATGTCGGAGAAGGCATCTCCACTTGCGAGGTCTATGCCAGCCAGGAAAGATAATAAGCGATAATATAGTTCTATGAAAGCTTGGTTGCCTTGCATGTTGTTGCTGTCCCGAACATGGGCCACTTGCTGTGTTCTCGAGAAGCTCGTGCGTCCTGGTAAGACCTCCCCGATCTGTAACAATGTTTTTGAGTCATTTTGGACGTCTCGTTGGAATTGATCAGTATGGAAGGAGTTGTTCCAAATTCCTTGCTGCAACACACGTCGCGATCGCACGCATTGCAGCATCATGTGAGACAAGCTGCATATGGATGGGCGATGGATAGTCCCGAAGTGACGAAGCTCTGTGGAGTTGTATGGACGATTTCGCTTCCTAAGAGACGCCGAACGCATCTCCCAATGCAGCCAAGACATCCCAAGGATCACAATAAATGTAGGTAACGTAATTCAGACCATGCATGTTTGCTGTGTTCATCTCTGACATGACTTGAATCTCCAATCGTTCTTTTCCTCCGCCATGGTATGGCAGAGTTGCTATGCAGTGCTTGTTTGGAGCCTTTGTATCTCTTCAAAGGCCTCCGGTGGAGGGCGGGTGGGGTGGACCCGAGCTTCTGGATCGAACTGCAGAAGGTACTTGAAGCCTCCAAGCCTTTGTCAATTGAACTAAGTGTCTCCGTCCTCACCCTCTCAGAGGGTGCCAGTGGATCCAGGTTCACAACTCTGAGCGGGCCACAACCTCCAGCCAACATCCTGCTTCAGCCAGCCAGTCTCGACGTTTCGAACGCCAGAACCACGGGGCCGCAACTGGCCCAGACAGCGGGTGAGGCCCAGACAGTGAGCTGGAGCACCACAGTGGGTACCGAGCTCTACGACTACAGTCGGGCAGTGGTCAGCAACTCGCAGGGGGAGATCTTTATCGCAGGCGCAAGCCGTGGTCAGATGGCAGAAGCCTGGATGCGCGTTCGGACGTTCGGTTCCGTTCGGTTCCGTTCGGTTCGGACGTTGTCCAGACAGTTCCGATTCCGGAGGAGTGGAAGAGAGAGTTTTGTTCTGGCGAAACGGGTTGGTTCAGATTTGGTTCTGTGTGTCTCTAATCAACTTTGTTTGATTTTCTTTGTTGTTTACTGTAGGGAGGGTAGGCACGTAGAGATGGGAGCACCTGCTCACAGAAATAGGATCGCTCCCGACTTTTATTACGGGGCAGTAGGGATTGAAATTGATGGTTGTGTCTAAAATCAATCAACCTTGGGTTCTACTCAATTCCTCTTTGCGCGGGTGTGATTGTGAGATCGAGGCTCAGTGCGATCCAGAAGATTGACAGGTGAAGAGAAAATGGAAATTGACCCGTGTGCAACATTTTGTAACATTGATTTCACATGCTAAGCAGCATGTGCATGCTAGGCATGCGGCACCCAGTGACGCGCATAGATTCAGGCTGATGCTGGATATGGTTATAAAGATGATTAATTACATAATACGTAACATATGATTATGTACCATCAACCTTTGCTTCGTCAGCCTTCTGACACAATCCAAATCAGACAGGTGCGAAAAATAAGGTAAGTGTTTTGACCCAATCATCACACATCCCCCTTCTGGACATGTTTCGCTCGTATGTTGATTTGTTGGCCGGCCTATCCGCCCGAGGAAAATGGCACTTGGGATGAGATTGACACCACCATGGACGCCTGGGTCATGAAGTTCTCTTCTGACGGGAACCTGCTTTGGACGCTCGGCACTCCGCCTTCGGTGCGTAGCGACGCAGCGAGTGCTGCTTCCGCGCGGACGCGCGCGTCACGGCGAAAGGGTGCGCCCTTGGGGACTGGCTGAACGAGTGGTCCAGAAGTTGCTGTGGACTGTGGTGTGTCAACTTCTGCATTTCCGAACCGCATCGAGTGCCAGACAGTCATTGATGTTTTTTGCACCGATCATGAATCATTCATGACCCATCCATATAGAGGAGGTGGAGAGAATCCTATTAGTGAGCATGGGGCCCTTTCGTGCAGAAAAGAGGCGGAACCAGACTCCACAAGCAAGAATCGGACCAACAAAGAACTCTTGAGGATGTGTACGCTTGACTTGAGAGGACATTTACTGTAATATTGTGTGATTTTAATTGTATTCTTCTGAAAAAGCATGGTGTCAGTTCGGGCGACACTTTCCTGGACCCCAGCCCGATGGACCTTTTCAGTGCATCATTTTCTCTTACTCTAAGCGAGGAAGTTGGTGTTCCAGGATACATCCAACCGGCACGCCGGGTTCCAGGACATATCAGGCTGGGGCAACAGGTGATGACACAGGAAATGCCCTGAGAGTGACTGAAGATGGCGGTGCCAACCATGTCCTGCTGGCGACTTACGCCGTGTCTTGGCGTACCATGTCCATCGACGGTTTTGAGGCAAAGGAAGGTTTATTGGACCTCAACAATATGCCACGAACTTGTGACCTGTGGTTAAACATCATATCTGATGTTCCTGACTAGGAAAGAGAGCTTGGCTAATTAGCCGAGATTTATGTGTGATGAAGTTGTAGAAGAGTGTGTGTGTTTTTCTAGAATTCCTCTTTGGAACAGTAAAGAGTGACGTTCCCGTCGACACGACCTGCTGGGCTACCAGGACGGACTGCGAAACGGCCAGGGGTGGCCGGGGTCGACCTCTGGGGCGGCAGTCCGTCCCAGACAGGTCGTGTCTGGGAAGTGGAAGCCAAATGCCAACAAAAATCAAACAAATACAGGCAAACACTTAGAGTCAGGAGCATGTGTGGAACATAGTAGGTTACACTCCAAATGCTATAATCCGGATATGTGTGGAACATTCTGGTAAACACTTAGACTCATGAGACCCGGACTGTCCATGTTCTGTGTGGTAGGTCTCTTCTCCGGCGACCGTCGAACCGTGCGTGTGTGTATGTGTGTGTGTGCATGGACCCTGTGCACGCGTTGCTTGCGGATGACAAGTCATCCAACATGAAAACGACTCTTCAGGGTGAACAGCTTATATACTCCCTAGGGCTCCAGTCGTACCTTCTAAGAAGCTGTTTGAGGTGAGTGACAGGAAGGTCCAGTCATACCAAACCTGAGAAGCTAACCTCCTGGAGCCCAAACAGGACTGTGAGCCAGGGGTGTCTGTTCATAGTTCTGCCGCGGCCCAGCCATCAACTTTGCCTCCAAAGTATGATATTTCGTTGCGTTCTCTCTGAAGACTCTTGATTAATAAACCCCCCCAAATTTGGATGCACGAACTCGCGAGCTGTCGTCGCACGCTCCCACGCGGTCCCTTGCCATGTTGTATGGCGGGTACTGGTGGGATAGTTGTGTGAAACCGGACCTAGCAGACAGAGCGAAAAAAAAACACTTAACTAGACAGGGAACCAGGCAACTACGAACGAAGCAGGGAACAGAGCGACAGAGGAAATGTGAAGTCCAAGACCGATCCGGTTGATCAAACACCTAATTAAGATTGCAAGTTGCACTTCATTTTCATGCGAGGTTTGTCAGATTGGACTTGACTACCTAATTCGGGCCAGGATGCGCTACCTCATCAAAATTCTTCTTCCTGAACATGATGTAGCGAATATGTTGCGTGAACTTGTTAGGGCCAGGGTTGACACGGCAGATCGGTGGGAATCGGCGGTGGCTCCACTTCATTGTGAAACGGTGGATCATGCGGCATTGTGAGGACCAGGTTCTTAAGGTACTCAAATGTTTCTTGCGGATTCGGGATCTGTGGGCGTCTCGATACCCCGGATTCATGGTAGCGCGAGAAACCCCAAATTTGGATTGAAACACTCTCTTCGTGTATGAGGTTTGTTAATCAAGAGTCTACAAAAAATCCTTTAACAAATCAATGTCCTAGCAAATCCTTGTCCTCTTCTTCCTTGCTCCCGTCAGGCCTCACGTTCTGTTCTCTCTCTCTCTCTCTCTTACACATCTCATACTGCTAAGTTCTTGACGTCCTCGATGTGCGTCGTTGTATGGTTTTGCAAAAATCCGTCGAACAAAATCGAAGAAATGCAGTATACATCTCCTCTCGCGATGCCGTCGAAACGTTGACATCCCGGAAGGTTGTCATCCCGAGTCAATAGAGGAATCTGATGAGAACAGACCCAAGGGTTCACCAGCGTCAACCGTTTTTCAGCACCAAAACGCCGCTTTGAGGGCTTTGAGGCGTCTCCGTCCTTTTGATGCCCCTCGCCCAGAACCGGGAACCGGCAGGAACTGGCAGATACGAACTATTTCTTCACAGGGTTTATCTTGGTCCGGCGTTTTCGTGTGTTGTAGGTGCGTGTGTTTTTTTTAATTGCAACACAACAAAGACAGGGCCCCATCCTGCTTGATTCACACCTATTTCTTTGAGTCACACATGTTTACGTGGGGCTTCTAGAACGCTTCGTCCGCGTCTCGAACTCACTTCCAGTTCACCTCACCTATAGGCAGTGGAAATCAGTGTGATCTGGCTGGATATGACCACTGGCGCTGTGGTTCAGAGGGCGGATGTGGCCACCCCGTCGCACACCTACCCGTCCCTTGGACTGGTCTCCAGAATCAGGGACAAACACCACTTGACCATCCATCTTGCTTGCATGTGGTATATCTCTTGGCCGTTGCATCTAGAATCTAGTTGCTTGGTAGATCTGTGGCAGATATTCAGGTTTTATGTGCGAACGTGAAAGTGCAGGTACGCAATGACCACGGACAATGCTGCCCAAATTTACGTGTGTGGTTGGACGGGGGGGTGACTTCAGCACGTATGGCCAAACCAACCTGGGGGACGGTGACATCTTTGTGATGAAGCTGAACGATACGACCGGAGCTGTCTCGTTTATCTCCCTACAGGGCTCCAGCGACTCGGACGGAAGATGGCCGTGAGGAAGGGCCCGGGGGGGCGCGCAGATGGCGAGGTGGCCAATTCCGGCAGAGGTCGGAGATGAATGGAGTTTAAAGTAACAAGAAGCTACTTAGTAACTAAGAAGCTAATAGGTTGGAGGCCATCGCTATTAGGTTGGAGGCCATTACTACCAGTAAGAAGCTACTACCAGAGGTCGGAGATGAAGGGAGTTTCTATTGGCGCCACCGCGGAAACCGGTCCGTGGAAACCGGTCGGATCGTTGAAGATCGGTGTCCACCTGGCTTGAGGGTTGCAAAGGACCTTGTCTGAAGAGGCTGAGAGTCCGGTGAAGCAACGTGGTGACCTGTGTTTCGGCGTTTCCACTCTCCCAGTTATTTGGAAAGAACCAACCGTGTTGAAGGAACTTTAATACTGCATCACCCCAACTGAAGATCCAAGAGGGATCGGGTCACAAGTGAATGGTATTCTGATCCAACTGATTGGAATGGTTGAAAGCAATGAGACATCCGATGGTCGGCTTGTTCATCTTAGTCCAGTTTCACGGCGCTTGATGTGAGTCACCAGTGATTGAGTGAGTCACCTGTTGATGGTCTGGTGTCATTGGCGTGTGTGCCCATGGTTTTTGGCATGGAACACAATGGTCTACTTCGAGAAGGTCACTGTTCATCGCAATTTGGTCAACATCCATTAATAATTGTTGTTGAAGTTCACTGAAATGAACAACTCTGCTTTGGAAAGGAGGGCGAGGTAGATTTTTTTGTGCAGAATCATTTGAGGTTTGCTTCACAGGTCACCATGAACAAATCTGGGTCGGCAATGCGCATTTATTAGTGTTGGCTGACTATGGCTGACTTACATATCCCGTCCCCATACTGCAATTTTTCCTGAAGGGGTTTGCCACCAATCCTGGAGGACTGAAGGACGCTCCAAACACTCCAAACAACTGGCATTGAAGCATATCGTCATATAGCATGCCGATATGCGTCGCATCTTGCAAATTCACGAATCCAAACGTTGCTTAGTTGATCTTGGCATTGAACTGTTTTGGTCATGTCGTCCATCTCTGCCTCCTAGACCGAAAGCTTAGAACAAGGACCATCCGTGGCACCTTGTGAGATGGGTTTCAATTCACAGTTCATCTCACCGCCCCAAAACCACCCACCCCAACCACTGGGTAGGCAGGATCCTGAGATCATACACCACCTCCGGACCTTGAGGTCACCAAGCGCGAACGTACAACCCGACACTACGTACGTGTACCTCCAGCCCACTTTCAGGAAGGTCTAGGCATGCACACCCTTCAGGTATTTTTTTGCGCACTTTGACCATCTATCACTGGTATTCAGCTGTTGATCAGTATTAAGTCGCCACGTGTCCAAACCTTTCGTGCATATCAAATGCTCACGAAGTTTATCTCATGTATTTTGTCGACCATCGATCGGCCTTCTGGTCACCAATCTATTTCGGTCTATTTCGGGCTGCCGGTGGCTTTTTCTGAGGCGCTCTTGAGCGGGCTCCTGAGCTTGTTGTGGACCAAAGTGACAACATCTTTCTGGTGGGCTACACCGGAGGCAGTCTGAACGGTCAGAATGCAGGCTCGAATGCCGCTTGGATGCGTTTTTAGCCAAGTCATCTGTCGACAGGCTTTTCTTAGATCAGACATGGGGAGACTGAAACAGTGTCCAGCGGGGTTGATTGCATATCAGAAGAAGCAAAGTCCGATCTACTAGCATTTATTTCATTGCGACCGCACAGGGGGCCACGCTAAATCTTCGGACCCAGTTGACCCAGTTGAGGTCAACTGGGTCAACCGGGTCAACTGGCTCCGGAGATTTAGCGTGGCCACCGGGTCAACTGGGTCCACCGCCACCACCACGACTACTACTACTACTACTACCACCACTACTACTACTTCTACTACTGGGTCAACTGGGTCAACTGGGGTCAACTGGGGTGAACTGTGTCAACTAGGGTCAACTGGGTCAACTGGCGTCAACTGGGTCCGGAGATATAGCGCGGCCCGGGTCAACCCGGTCAACTAACCCTCAGTTCAACTGGGTCAACTGGGTCCACCACCACTACTATCACCACTACCACTACTGCTTATTGGTCAACTTGGGTCCACTGGGTTCAAGGTCTGGCAACGACTACTATACTGAGCATGCTCGATCAAAGATGAATCCCTGCTAGTGCTAGGTGTAAAATAAGGCAGTCTGAGCAGTAAAAATTAAGCTCAACACCAGGGTTCCCGTGTTGAGCTTGGACAAAACTTTTTTTTTATCAAGTTCATCGGTTTTGTATTTCCATTGGGCACCCCACGTGAAACAGGCGTAGCCACTGCATGGACAGACGGCCGTCAAAAGAATGGCCAACGAATGGCATGCGTGGAGCTAAATTTCAAGTTGTAACGATGATCTGGACCTTTCAGACAGGGGAAGGTTCAATCACCAATTATCCACTTTCGTGCGACCTGCTGCAGATTTGGAAGTGTTTTTCTTCTGTGAGGGTCTTTCCAGATCAGAGTTCGGCTTCTGTGAGGATCGCATGGTCGACTTGTGGATCTTTTCCAGGTCCAAACCAGGGATCGGGTGCTGCGTTTTCGATCGTCAGGCTATCCACTAAACCACAGACAACTAAGTCAACTCATCCATAGGATTCTGGAACCTGAGTAAGTGACCTGTATTTTAGATCAGCACCAACCATCCTCATCTGTGGCAACATGGAGCTATAAAGACATGATCTAATCATTGGAAACCAACATCAACATCAGACATTCCGTGTAGAGCTTGATTCGGAACCTTGCTAGTTGTTCAAGTTCAACAATGGTCTTCATCACAACCTCGGTTGATCCAGCTGGGGACCGTTTCTTCCTGCGAGTCAAGAGATAGCTCTAGACTCTAGATCTATCGACGACCTGTGAGCAAGCGACTTGGCTATGTAAAACTTCTAAAAAGAAAGCTAGAAACCAATATCAACACCAGACATCTCGTGTTGAGCTTGGTTAGGACTCCTTCCATCGAGTCGACCATGGCCGCATACACCACATTGACACATAGAAATACATAGTCTAACCATGGGAAACCAAGCTCAACGCCAGGTGTCCCGTGTTGAGGTTGGTTGAAGACTTTTCCTGAGCCAGTTGAGACACTGCCTGCATCAGAACGTAGAAAACAAACGCATAAACAACAATAATGAGTTATGAAAACACAATCTAACATATAGAAACCCTCCACACCAAGAATCCCATGTTGAGGTTGATTGGTGATCTTTCTTGATCCAGTTCAGACAATGCCTCTATCACAACCTAGTAGTAGCAGTGGACCCAGTTGACCCCAGTTGACCCGGTTGACCCCTTGACCCCTAGCACTATTAGTCGTGGTGGTCGAACTGACAAGGCGGGCACGCTAAATCTGCGGACCCAGTTGACCCCAATTGACCCAGTTGACCCAGTTGACGCGTAGTAGTAGCAGTGGTAGTGGCCGCAGTGGTCGACTTGACCAGGCGGCCACGCTAAATCTCCGGACCCAGTTGACCCAGTTCAGGTCAATTGGGTCAACCGGGTCAACTAGGTCAACTGGGACACCCTGTTCAACTGGGTCAACTGGGACCACAGAATTAGCGGCCCCCCTGTGCCGACGAACTCATTTATTTCTTTTTCGTGGCGCTCCTCCAAGGCCAAGACTGCAGGTTCATGAAATCTCATTCTTCCATCAGACAGTGTCACGACGAGCAAAATGGTTTCACCACGCATTTCCCACACGGCACCGACCCCCATTCCCCCCAATTTTGTTGCACCCCGTTGCTGCAAGCTGATTCGCGATCTTTTTGGTTGATCCTCGGGTCATGTTCACCGACGAGCTCGAGTCAACTCGGTTACTCGAGTCACTGGTGTCATGAGAATGTTTGGCATGGTGAGCCCGTTTTCTCCATGATGGCACAAGTCGATCAGTCGATCCTGTATTTTTTCAACAGGTGTGTGTTCCATGTCTATGCGGAGCGGGTCAAACTCTTGAAAGACTCCACGTCTCCTCCGTATGATGTTTTTTTCCTCACGAACAACGTCCTATTCCGCAAGATCTCCATTCTTCTGAAACGTTTCTTCCGCAACTGTTTTGGTACTCTTCCGCAATCTTCCGCAACAATCCTGTCCACCTATTAGAAAACACGAGCCTCCCCCCTAATAAGAGAAAATTTTTCTAATAGGGGGTCCCTGAACTCGGGGGGGGTCCAAAATCGGGTAACCTGGGAAGAGCTTCAAAACCAAAAAGTCATCCAGAAAGAAGTATACCAAAATATTATTAAACTCGTATCAAAAGTTCAAAAATCCTCCAGATCAAAGGGTCTTCCTTTTCCCCTACAAAAATAGCCTTTATACTTCTTCTTCATTAGACTAACAAAGGTGATGTCGCTGTGCCATGCGGGGCTGGATTTTAATTTTGCCTTGTGGTTTTTTTCCAACCCTGTGAGGACGTGGTGGTTTCCGACGAGTAGGCTACCCAGGACCCAGAGGATTGTTTTTCAGCCCGCATACTCCTTCGTGCATCCTGCCCTGCAAGGGTTTCTCTTGTGGCATGCAGGGGGTTCTCTCGTGCCCTGCAGGGGTTTCCTTCCTGCCCTGAGAATTTTTTTTTGCCTTGCAGAGGTTTCTTTCTTGCCCTGGAAAGACCTCTTTGCTGCCTGCCCTGCAGCGGTTTCTTTCTTGTCGTGGAGAGGTTTCTGTAGAGAGCTGGCCACTGTGAGCGTGCACTTTTTCATGATTCGCTAGATGAGCACTGCTTTGGTATCTACGCACTTTTTTTGAAAGAAAATTTCTCACATGGACGAACACGCCTTGTCAATTTGATTTGATCTCTGTATCCTATGTCCAGGTTTTAGAACAAGATGATTTCCAGATGTAACATCACATGTAGACAACAAAAACAAGCAGTCATAGGAAATAAAATTGGTCACCAACTATCACTATCACCTTTCAAAATTCAATACATATTAAATATTGAATTCAAAGGGGTTGCCATTTCTAGTAATCAATGTAATATTTAAAGCATCTAAAACATTTATATATTTCAATTTTATTTAATACGTAAGTTATCGAAACAGAAATATTTTTAAATAGGCAAAAACTATATCCTTTTGCAACATTCAGTTCAAATTTGATTTAATTCAATATTTTAAATGTTTTCAGGTTTTTTATTTAGCTGAATATTTAAAATATGGAATATTTTATTGAATATAGTCTAATTCCATGTTGTATTTTCTTTCAATACTAAATTAACTCCTGGAATTGGCAACCCTTTTGAACTCCATTGTTTTACAATATTATAAATATGTCACTTCTTAAAAAGCATGCAATTCTTTTTTAAAGTTGAACTAAAACTGAATTTAATTGTTTTAAGTATTTCAAATATTTCGCCTATTAACAATATTTAAATTGGTGGTGTGAATTTGTTTAATTTAAGAAGGCACATGTTTCCATGTTGGAAAAACTTCAGTAAAAACTTTCATGCTCAAAGCAATACCAATTCCCCAGAAGGAAATGAGAATTTAACAAAATCTAGAATTAAGACTGAAAAAAGAATATAATACTGGAATTGAATAATGAGATTTTCAGAAAATCTAAAATTTAACTGAAAAAGAATGAAATATTGTAATTGAATTTGAATTGTATTGAACACCAAATATATTAGAATCTATAGTGAAGGAACATTGAATCAAAGTGAAATGAAGCCATCATTGAAATAGAGTTATTAAATCTGAAATTAATCTAAATTTGAATGCAATTAGAATTTTGTTATTTAGGGTTTGTAATTATTTGCTTCTGATTATGGTGTACTTACCCAACTGCATTCAATAAGAGCAATACAATTCACACTCTCAAAGCCAGAAATATGGTTTTGCATGGGGGCTGCGTGGAATTAGATTACTACATCCAAAACTTTTTCGTAAACATCTAACCTTTTGGAACTAGACATTTTTGTAGTACATAGTTGAATGAACAAATATGCTTACCAACTGCACAAAGAGCAAAAAACACATAAATGTCAGAATCCTATCCATGTGATATCATCACCAAAAAGAGCAACACCTTATACAAGAACAACTTTCACAACCCTATCAATGTCTTATCATCTGCAAGAAGAGAACAAGCTTACAAAATCACAACGTTCACAGCCCCACCCGCAGTCTTCGGCCCAAAATCACCCCGTTAAGGAACATGCACGATCTTTACCACGTGCAATGAAATTGCAATGGAAGCTACCTGTTTTTATCACGCGCAGATCTGTCAGTCAGGCCTATTCGCGGTTGGGAGCATGCAGGATATAAGTGTAAAGTAGTCTTTGGTCCAAAAGCACACCGTTGAGGAACATGCGCGATCTTTATTGCGTGAATAGTCAGGGTCGTATCTTTGTGGGGTTGCAGTCTTTTCACAGCTAATTCTGTGTACTCGTCCCAAAACTGTGTATACTCCGCATGCGACTGCTAGCTGAACGTCGCTGTCGACCGAAAATTGTCTCGCTTGAAAGACGATATTTTCACAGAAGTCTATCCATCCACTCTATGTCTTGACTTTAAAGTCCGGTGTCTAGCTGTCGCCGCAAATGTCGGACGGACCCTCAGTCAGAGCGCTGGAAAAAAGAGAGCGAAGCGGTTAAGGGAACGATTTTCTTAGACGGGTCGAAGAAGGACCAACAGAACTTCAAAACATGTCAAACAAGAACCCAAAAAGAACACCAAACGGTGCAAAAAAAGACTTTACAACCAGTCAAGAAAGAGTCCTACAACGAGTCAACGAAGAACCCTAAAACAGGTCAAAAGTGCAACCCTGCACAGGGTGGACAAAGAATTCTGCGCAATGGATTCTAAGTGAAAAAGCGCACCCCGCAGGGTGAAAAAGGAACCCTGCACAGGATGGACAAAGTAGAACAAGAATCCTGCACAGGGTGGAAAGAGAACCCTGCGCAGGGTCAAAAAACAATCCTGTGTGACTGTGACAAGGTGGAAACATGGAAAAAGAATCCTGCACAGGGTTAAACAAAGCCCATGTGTGACAAGGTGGAAAGATGGAAAAAGAATCCTGGGTGGAAAAAGAAAGGAACCCTGCACAGGATGGACAAAGTAGGAAAGAATCCTGCACAGGGTGGAAAAAGAACCCTGCGCAGGGTTAAAAAAGACCATGTGTGACAAGGTGGAAAAATGGAAAATAATCTTGCGCACAGGGTTAAACGAAGCCCATGTGTGACAAGGTGGAAAGATGGAAAGAGAATCCTGGGTGGACAAAGAAAGGAACCCTGCACAGGATGGGCAAAGTAGAAAAAGAATTCTGCACAGGGTGGAAAAAGAACCCTGCGCAGGGTTTAAAAAGACCATGTGTGACAAGGTGCAAACATGGAAAATATTCCTGCACAGGGTGGGAAAAGAACCCTGCACAGGGTGGAAAAAGAACCGTGCGCAGGGTTAAACAAAGCCCATGTGTGACAAGGTGGAAAAATGCAAAAATTTTCCTGCACAGGGTGGCAAAAGAACAGTGCACAGGGTGGAAAAAGCACACGGGAAAAAACGCACACAAGGCGAAAAAGAAATCCTGCACAGTGTGGATAAAGAACCGTGCACGATGGATTCTGGCGAGTGGTGCCCCATCGCGGCTCCCGAGAGTGGAAATGAAGCCCGCGCAGGGTGGAAAAAGAACACTGCACAGGGTTAGACAAAGCCCGTGTGTGACAAGGTTGAAAAATAGAAAAAGAATCCTGCACAGGGTGGCAAAAGAACACTGCGCAGGGTGGAAAAGAACACTGCACAGGGTGGAAAAAGAATCCTGCAAGGGTGGAAAAGAACACTGCACAGGGTGGAAAAAGAACCCTGCGCAGGGTGGAAAGTGAACCCTGCACAGGGTGGAAAAAGAACCCTGCGCAGGGTGGAAAGAGAACCCAGTGCAGGGTGGAAAAAGAACCGTGCGCAGGGGGGAAAGAGAACCCTGTGCAGGGTGGAAAAAGAACCCTGTACAGGGTGGAAGAAGAAGCCTGCACAGGGTTAAAAAAAGCCCATGCGTGACAAGGTGGAAATAGAACCCAAGAGAACACATGCCCTGCCATGCGGTTTTGCACGACCTCGGTGGCAAGTGCGTTGCGTGAGTCCGTGCCGGAGGAAGGAGAACCTTCTGGTGTAAACGCGGCGTGTCATGGTGGATACACAGGGCGGACAGATGTGGGCAGTTACGGTTGTTTTTTGGAACCTAAAAAAGAAATTAACAGCAAAATTGACCATGTTGGTAGTTTAATTTAGTGGCGGCTGCAAAGGGCGGCAATTTAAACACAAATATACACCGAATTTGGGGCTTCGGACAGGGTGGTTTTAAATGGGGAGGCTTGGTAATAGGTACTCGGGACTACTCTGAACAATTCGTGATTTTCAGAAACTATTCCCCATTCTTCAGAAGCTATTTTGCGTTCTTCCGAGACTATCTCACATTCTTGAGAAACTATTTCACGTTTTTCAGAAACTATGTTACACGCTTCAGAAAGTATGAATGGAGCGCGAGGGGTGGGTGGGGGTTTGGGTAGTGGGCTTATTGGCATACCCTGCGACGGCTATAGGTACATGTTTGCAAAGGTCAGTTCCCGCAGAAAACGGTCTAGTTTCTGAAGATTAGTATCCAAAGAATAGTTTCGGAAGGAAAACGTCTACCTACCGAAGAACACCTAGATAGTGTCTGAAGAACGCTTTGTTCTCGCCCGACGACCTGACAAGCTCTCGGAACGCAAGCTTGCCTCCAAGTCTGAACCCTTCGTGAGTGAAGACAGGATCTGAATGAGACGGCTGAATGAATGAAGCAAATGCACCTTATTCATCCATATTCCTCATAACAATCCAATCACTCCACCCCAATCCATCTCTCAGCTTCAGAGGACACTCCGAAACTCCGATTTTAGGATATCTTCGTGATGAAGCTGGACCCATACGGTGATCGGCTTTGGACCTGGCAAACCGGGACGGCCCAAGATGACCGGGGCCATTCCATCCAGCTGGATACGACCGGGAACATCTTCGTTGGAGGATCGGTCGGGAGCGGGGAGCGGGGCGGGTTGATCGTGGAAGCGCGGTCCGTGGTCCGGTGCGCCCAGGGGTCCCGAGACCCACACGGAACCAGTCTACCGCCCGACGACCAACAGGTCGACCTGATATGGAGGCGACCTTGAAGACGCCCAAGTCGCAGGTGCCCTAGGGAACATTTATTAAATAGCGATTCTTCATTAGACTAACAACTAAAGCTTTCGAAAGGTGAGTCCGTGCCATTGGGGAAAGGAAGCCTGCTGGTCTAAACGCGGCGTGTCATGGTGGATAGACAGGGTGGACAGAGGTGGGCAGTTAGGGTTGTTGGAACCAAAAAAATACATGCCACCAAAATCGGCCATGTGGGTAGTTTAGTAATGGCCTTAAAGGGCAGACATTTAACATATATAAACCGTCTTTAGGGGTTTCCGGCATGACTTCTTTAAAATAGGGGTACGTTTTGTAATAGGTACACGGGATTATATAGTACTGTTGTTATAAAGCGTATACACTCAAACGTTGCAGTCACGTTGCACTGTTCTTTTTGGGTCCAGACATTTGTTGATGCCAGTCTAGCTTGTGTTTTTTCCTGACCCAGGGGTTCCTGATTCATTCAACCAAACATTCTTACAACTATATATATATATATATATATGTTTGTCAGAAAACCGACCGTCTAGGATCGAATACAAAGAAGTAATTTTCCTGCTTTGAAGTAAGCTTGATATGTTTGTTACGGGTTCCAGTGTTTATTGTTTTTTTGTGACCTTTTGTGACTGGTTTTTCGAGAGCCACATCCTATCATTAATGATTGTCATGCTTGCATAAATTTCACCGGACCAAGGTCCCCACCAACGTGGCATCGGGGACATTTGTGTATCTATATATTTCCACTTCTTTGTTGCCACAGTTTAAGGCCCCCCAAACCCGTCCAAAATGCAGTTCCTGGTCTTCGAAACATGCGCTGTTCGGAACGCAAGACTTGAGCCAACCGCGCCACAAAACGCCACGCCAGGCTATACCGCTGGGAGTTTGTTCGCGACCAGCCAGGGATATAATGATTTGTTTTTGCTGAAACTGGTGGATAATGGAGTCTCAAGGACGGTGGCCTGGAGTCTTCAGCCACTGGATCGCATTACGAGTTAGGAGGTATGACCACGAGTTGCAAAATCGGACTTGCAACATATTGAGTATGGATTCTCATGAGTTAGTGCAATATTTCAGTATCTATCTATAATATATATATATACATATATATATACACATGGCCCCCCCCAAAGAGGTACCTGGCTTCAGGTGGTGTCAGGTTCTTTTTGGGGTGACGATAGCGGCTGTTGCCCCACCCGGGGCCGCAAAATTCCGGCTCCTGTTTTCCTGACCCAGAAAAGGTCCCGGTCCTTCGTATGTGTCATGTATGCTCATGGTTTTTGACACTCGTTTCTGTGTTTTTTTAAATTCCCCGAACGCTACTCCCAGGATAGTTGATCCGAGTCGACCTGACCTGAAGAGGGACATAGTCATACTCCATCTAGAGAGATCGAATCTACAACATGTACCGTACAGTTTTAAGTCGTCCACTTTACTGAACTTGACTCCAGACTGGATCCAACTCAAAAACTCACACAGCTCTCGGTTGGTCTTTTGCTTCTTGAAGAAGCTTGTGATACGCCAATTTCGATGTTTTGGCATGTTTTGGCAATGTGCCCATGGTGGAGCCTCACTATGAATGTTGCAGAGGAGATGCCTGCTGGCAATTGGACTGAGAGCAAGTGAAGGGTCCACTTGGGTAAAGGAGCTCCAGCTCCATCGTCAGACGGGTAAGACGGCGGTGAGACTTGCTCGCCTCATGCGTGCGCAAGGGAGCTCTCCATAGATTCCTCGGCTAACAGGACGCAGCCACTGCTCTCCATCAGGCTTTGATTGAGATATTGCTCGAAAACTGAGAAAGTACACTCAAACGCAAGCTGGTCCCGTCTGAGCTTGACTTGGATGCACATGCTCACAGAACAAGCAAACAAACATAAAAACTGATTCAGGTCGAGTCTGGCTTGACAGCCAGTTGGTGGCTTAGCCTTCTCCGTCCGAGTCGGCTGCAACGCATGCGATCTTTGGTCTAAACAGCTTGTATGTGCTAAGCATTCCCAAAAAGCGCGCAACCAATAGAACAAATATATCCACAAACTGTTTACAACAATCTTGGTCAGAGCTTGAGCTTCCCTAAAGTTGTCAAGTTCTTTCCAATGTAATTTCTTCCAACGACAATTTACACAAACTGGCACTCTGCCAGCATTTGTTCAAAGTTAGTTCGTCATTATCCCTCTACAAAACGTCCCCATTTCTCATCACTATTTCTATTGTTGCCAGGGACTTGCGACTACAAATGTTCAATCCGTTCTCCATATGTCATCCTTAAATATATATATATATATACATATACTTATATAATGTTTGCAAAGACATATATAATATAGTAGCTTTTTGGGTATATTTTAATTGACGCATTATTCTTGCTTTTTGGAGGGCTTCACCCTCTGTGACAGTATGAGCCTCCACTACAATTCCGTTCTCATTGGCAAATGCCCTGTATCCAGTGTATTTTTGATAACAGCTTCTGCTTTGCAAAAGGTCTTCCTCTTTGCAAACTGAAACTATCCTTCATGGAAGACACCTCCGTAGTTCCCAGATGGCGTAGTGAAACATGATTCACCCCTTTCTTTGCTTAATTCGTGTGTTTTGAAAGAGAAGTGATTTAACGGTATCCACGTCAACTAAGTTCAACTAATTTTTTTGTTTGTGGCTTGACTTTTGGCAGCCAGATCTAAACATCACTTGTAAATGAATAAGAGCAATGAGATGTGCAGTTCCTAGTCCATCATGTAGAAACGTTTTAAACAATTAACTTCCGTATGCTGTTTCATGTATACGTCCCACATGGTGTTCTTCAGACAAATTGGACTCCCAAGTGCCTGTTGTAGGATCCCCTTGTCCAGTTAGTTCAATTCTTCCTTTGATTCATTTGTCTGCTGATACACGTGGTTTATATCACACTGGTTTGTGCTACTGAACGTTGGTGAAGAATAGCCAATGAAAAGCGATGGTATTCTAGTTGGTATAGTTAAATAACAAGACAAAAGGTAAAGCTAATTCAGGAGAAGCGAATTGTGTTAAGGGACATTTGGTGCAGAAAAGGAAAGACATGTAAAGGACAGTGCCGACTCGTTTAAGTTGAAGGGGTGAATCCACATATCAAAATCAAGATTTACGTAATGAAAAAGACTGCCTAGTTGATCAGCTTGATATAGCTTGGTATGATATTCCCCTCGTTTTTCTGAAGAGTAGTCTCAACCTCCGCACTGCAGCGGCGTGCGGCTTGACACGTTCGGACTGGGATTCCATCCTTACATGCACGTGGGGTTGCCTTCAGCAAACACTGGGCTTGCTTCAATATGCTTTATGTCTTTAATTGCTCTGCCAATACCACCTTCACAAAAACTAACAAAACTGAGGCTATAGATATTGCCATTGCTATAATATATGGGTTTCGTATCGTATCTAAAAACGAAAGACCCATGACTTTTAACCGCAGTGTTGTGGCTTAAGGGAGGTGAATGGCCTCCTGGCCAGTGGGAGGCTGGCGGCCCGTCCACTTTGTGGACAACTGTCGGTGTCCGTGCTGCCAGGCCATCGAGCGGCTTTTCTTGGTGCTCTTCTACGAAGGGTCAAGTGCCCAACACATCCACAGAAACGTAGTGCGGAGTGCTATGTCAGGTGACGACCACGTAGGCGCTGAAGGGGAGGTAAGGAAAGACCGACCTACTATGTCCACCTCTTCTAGTCTGGACACCTTTGACGCTTTGGAGAGAGTATCCTCTGAATTGGCTGGGGAGATCAAAGGCACTGTCACGCCCCAAGTTGAGCAACTCAGGCGATGCTACATGGAGTATGGGCTGCCTCGTCATCCGAAGAAGGTGGCTGAGCGAGTCATAAGAGGTGAGATGCAAGGAGCACTTATTGATGGTGAGCTTGGCTTTGCAATGCCGAAGCCCCAGAAACTCGTTCAATATTGCAAGTTGGGGTTAGAGCTCCTGGTGAGGGGCCAGTCAACCCTCAGGGAGCTCCAGGTGGTCTGCGGTGGCTTTGTTTATGTGGCCATGTTCAGGCGCCCTCTTCTCTGCAGTCTGAACGAAGTGTTTGAGCATATGAAGAGGTTTGACAACGAGCCGCCAGTGGTCAGATTGCCTCTGCCCTATCAGGTCAAATTGGAGATTGCTAGGTTCATCCTTCTGAGTCCGCTGGCACAGATTGATTTTCGAGTTCTGGTGGACGGTGAGACGGTGAGGTGACAGCTTCGAATGCTTCAACCACAGGTGGAGGTCTTTGCGCGTCGGACGGCCTAACCCCATGAAATGAATGCGGCAAATTGTCCTGCGCGGGGTGACCTTCCTGAAGAGCATGACCTCTCAGCGTGGGGCTGTTTGATGGCATTGCAGCCCTGCGGGTGGCCAGTAACTTGGTGGGCACGTCAGCGTTGAGATGGATCGCAATGTGCCGCAGGGTTGTCGAGAGTTTCTTTCCTGAGACTGAGTTTCATGAAAACGTTTGTGAATTTGGGTTGGAGCAGGTTCAGGCCCTGGCACTTCGCTACAGCAACGTGGGGCTCGTACTGGTTGGGGCTGGACCATCTTGCCAGGGGGTGAGTGGCTTCAATGCCGACCGAAAGGGAGCACTATACGCGATGAAGCTCATTGTTCCATGAAGTCCCTCGGATTACACAGCTTTTTCGAGAGGCTTTCCTTTGGGCTCAGGTGCATGAACTGATAGAGAACGTGGCCTCGATGAGCCTGGAGGATAGAGAGATTATGAGTCGGGAGTTTGGGAGAACTCCTGTAGAGAACGTGGCTGCGATGAGCCTGGAGGATAGAGAGATTATGAGTCGGGAGTTTGGGAGAACCCCTGTGCGTATTGATGCGGCCTCGGCTGTACTGGGTCACTTGGGAGCTCACGGACGCAGAAGGAGCGCAAATTGAGGAGCGATCTGGCGATGGATGGCATGCATGCCAACCTATACATCTGTCAGGCGACATTGGAAAGGCCTTCAGTCTGGATGCCACCTACCTACCCTGACTACATCTCGACCCAGGTCAAGTCCAGGGAGGCGGCCAGCAGGATTACATCACTGTCAAGCTCATGAAGTCTCTCGCTGGGAGGAAGATCGTTATCGTTTTCCTCCTTATCAATACAAAGATGACCACGTACTCTGGAAGCGACAGGGAATGTGGCGAGAGAGAGGCGTTGATGGGTTTCCCTGTTGACTACACACGCCAGTGCGCCCCCAAGGCAGAGCAGAAGGGAGAACACTACGAGGACATTCGCATGAGTATGATTGGGAACAGCTGGCATGTGGGAGTATAGTGAGCTGGCTCATTGGGCAATTGTCGCGCTCGCTTGGCTTGGGAGGAATTTCGGAGGTTCAAGACATGATTGATGCAACTACACCAGTACGGGGTCGTGACTTCTGTTCCATGCTCCTTCGAGGGACGCCTGGGTAAGGGTGACCCTGAGGTCTCGGTCCAGTTGATCCGCAAGTGCTTTGGGTTCTCCTCGATGAAGGGGGGAGGATCTGATGGGGCACACGGGAACAGATCCTGCTCCCAAGCATTTCCGCCTCCGTGCTAGTGTCCCTGGGAGACTTTGGCGGTGGCGAGATATTTCTGGTTGGAGATGGAAGCACCCGGGAGAACACATCAATCTCCTGGAGCTCAGAGCTATTCTTACCGGCATCAAGTGGAAGTTGTCAAGATCCAAACGCTGGGGAGTCCGCTTTTCCATCTGACCGACAGTATGGTGTGCATGCACGCACTGACGAGAGGCAGGAGCTCGAGCAAGAAGTTGAGACCTGTCATTATGAGATTGAATGCCTTGATGCTTGCAGGAGACCTTCACCCCCTCTGGGGTTACATTCACACGTCACAGAACCCGGCTGACCGGCCTAGCCGGAGACTGGTGAAGAAGAAATTGGGAAAGTAGGACGTGTATTTCTTGAAGGTCGTAGCAAGCAAGCAAGCAAGCAAGCAAGCAAGCAAGCAAGCAAGCAAGGCAAGCGCAGCGAAAGGAACTTGGCTTTCTCAAGTCACTCACAGTTTCTCCCAAAACCAATAAGAGATATACTTTGGCACGGCAGCGTTTTTATGACTTCTTGGAGCAGAACCACCTCAGCCTACCCGGAAACGGGAGCACCTGGATGGGCTGCTGAGCGAGTACATCGAGTTTCTGTGGACCGAAGGCGAAGGGCGAGGGCTGGCTTCGGATACGGTTGCCGGCCTTCAAGATGCTAACCCGAAGCTCAGGGGCCAGCTACCAGCTACCTGGAGGTTGCTTAAAACGTGGCATACAAACGAGGTTCCAAACAGGGCCCCACCTCTTACAGAGACTGCGGTTCATGCAATGGTTAGGTGGAGTTTCTTTCATGGCCACGTTGGTTTTGGGGTATCTCTCCTCCTGGCCTTCTACGGCATATTACGCACAGGGGAGGTGACAGAGGTCCGGAATAGCCACATCTTCATGAAGTCGGCTACTTCACCAGCGGTAGTGAGTCTAGGACTTACAAAAGGTGGCAAAAGAGTAGGAGCCGCTGAGTCCATCACAGTCACAGTGAATGTTGCCCTCAAGTGGCTGTGGATGTGGAAAGCGCAGAACGCGCCCTCGGCAAAGTTTGTCCCCTCGGTGTCCACTTGGAGGATCCTTTTTAAGACATGCCTTGCCGCTTTGGAAATAAACCTGTTCGAGTTCAGACCGTACTCCTTGCGTAGAGGAGGGGCGACATTTTGGCTCGCCAAGCACGGATCCCTTGATAAACTTTTAATTTCAGGGCGTAGGCAAGCTGCTAAAACAGCCCGGATTTATATCAACGAAGGCATGGCTGTATTAGCGGACATGAAGCTTGCGACTCAGAAGTTTACCCTCTATGTTCGAGTGTTTCACAATCAGAATTTTCCACCACACTTGAGCTCGCGCTCACGCGCAAGAAGGGGGGCGTGGAAGGAAGTCTTTTTTTTTGCCAGTTTTTGCACTAAAATCAAAAACCTGGCCTAGGGCTCTCGGCTTGGCGGGAGGCCCTAGGAAGGTAGTGGGGGGTTTTCCAATCCCTCAGGCTTCACCCGCAGATCAGTTAACCATCACTCTTGTTTTGCCTGTCTCAAAGGCCTTTGGGGCACAGTTTTCCTCACCCCCGCCATCAGATTTCGGAATGATGTTCCTTTTAACTTTTGTGATAAACTGCGGAGCGCCGTTAAAAAGAGCGGGTTCTTGAGTTTTTGGGTTTCGTATCGTATCTAGAAACGAAAGGCCCATGACTTTTAACCGCAGTGTTGTGGCTTAAGGCCCTTCCCCCCCGGCCCAAGGCTGTCGCGTTGGAAGGAAGTCTTTTTTTTGCCAGTTTTTGCCCTAAAAGCAAAAACCTGGCCTAGGGCTCTCAGCTTGGCGGGAGGCCCTAGGAAGGTAGTGGGGGGCTTTTCAATCCATCACTCTTGGCGGGGGTGAGGAAAACTGTGCCCCAAAGGCCTTTGAGACAGGCAAACCAAGAGTGATGGTTAACTGATCTGCGGGTGATCAGATTTTGGATCCATGGTGGTTGTTGGTCTATGAAATGGGGATCCTTTGCCACTATGAAATGAGGTTCCAGGGGGCATTCTATAGACAGCGCCTTTCTTAGAATACTAGAGTAGTTCATATATATGGGGGGGG